TCACTCCAAAATGTGTATGTTTCAATATGTCTCATATGGTGGGTTGACGTTTAATAGTATCACTCCAGAATGTGTATGTTTCAATATGTCTCATATGGTGGGTTGACGTTTAATAGTATCACTCCAGAATGTGTATGTTTCAGAATGTCTCATATGGTGGGTTGACGTTTAATAGTATCACTCCAGAATGTGTATGTTTCAATGTGTCTCATATGGTATCATCTGTGTCAGTATGACCTCTTTCGGTGATAGGATTTGCCTTATTGTTCCAGATGAAATTATTGTATTCCATCGAGTAAGCGAGTTGGTTTTCGTGGGAAAAGACAATCTGTCAAATGAAGAACAACTGATCGAAAATACAAGAACAATACTAGACAGTGTTTTCATTGTCGTTAGTTTCGCGTAAAGTTTCCCTTAGAACTTTCTCTATCCTGATGAATGCTAGCGCTATAAATGTGGCATGTCAGCGAGGGACGCCATAGCTTCACACTGAGTTTGATGTTTCGAGTATACATAAATCTTCTGTTGTTTTTTTCATGTTTAATAAACAAAAACAAAAAAGTACAAACATAGGAATAAAACAAACGTTTTCCTGTCAATATTTCCAATGCAAAATGTTTACTATACAGGATAAGAATAGTGCACTATACATTGTTAGCAATGCCTGATGAACATCAATGTGAAGTGTTGTGACAAGGTAATCACGATAGCGGCTAGACAATGTGTAATTACGATCTCCTCTGAAAACGATCGAGAATTACCTTACCATACTGATAACATATTGCAGGTTGAATGATGCCACAAATATACACGTATATGCAAGTATATCAGAATAATTAAGAAGGTTTGTATTTGAGTTGGTGAATTATTTCTTGGAATGCCAAGCATGTAAAGACTGGTCCTTCTTGTCAATTCCACCAAGACAGCTATAGAGGTTTATGGGCGTTTTAACTCTGGTAAATACTTATCTTACGTGACAAAACCTATATTCTAAGTGCAATACTAATCATGTGTGTGTAAACGCACATATAGCTTGTTATAGTTTTTACAATGATATATGGATATAGCCCAATACTCGATATACGAGTTGGTAGCATGGGTTAATTATTTATTATTTTGATGAATTAAATTAAATAAAGAACGTGATTTATTGCACAATCTTTTAATCCTTGTTAATTCACCCCAGCAACCACGATCTTAGTTTTAAAAAATTCAGTGACTACTGTCTGACATCTTTTGAAAAAAGACGTAGATTATAACTTCAAAAAGACTCTACCTTAGTGAAGTTTTTGTAAGTTTTATTTATTTAATTTAATGTGGGTTTAATCGCCATCTAATTGGCCATTTGAATCCATACTCACTTGTATTAGAAAACCTGCAGACTTCGTATTCTCTTGACCTATCTGCTAGTCTTTCCCACCGTCGAGATCGATACTTGTGACCCACATCACCATCGATGTGTCTTGCTCCAGACACTTGTAATGTGTATGCACTATAGACGCCAGGGAATACTCTCACGCCAACCACCATGGTTTATTCATAGGCCAACAATTGCCTGTACAGAGAAATGGAATATCACAACTTGAATGTCACATTATTGTGAAATCGTATTTAGATGAAAATATGTTGTAATTTATCACAATCTGGAATGGTTATCCTTGAGGTAGCCTAGTGGTTAAAGCGTTCGCTCGTCACTCCGAAGACCCGGGTTCGTTTCCTCACATGGGTACAATGAGTGAAGCCCATTTCTGGTGTGCCCCCGCCGTGATATTGTTGGAATATTGCTAAAAGCGGCGTAAAACTCACTCACTCACTCATTCACATGGCACCTGATGTCATATGCTGAATACTAACTTTAGTTTAATTACCATCCGTGTTATGTGTATATTTTACCATTGTTTATCTTGTTTTAGATCCAGGACAACAAGCACCACCGGGCAATCTCCAAACATGACAGGTATAGTAAAACGTATACTCAAGGGCAGAATATAGTATACAGACATGTTTATTGGTGTCTAAAGATGAACCAAAGAAGTTGGTTGTCTCTCATACGTTACCACAAGAGCGTTTGTGTTTCACTGCCAGTATTCAGGATAGTAACAATTATACAACGTTTAGTAACATTTTGTCACATTCAATTTTCAACTGTATACTTTCTTTTGCCCGGAAGTATTTGTAAACTTACTCCTTATAAAAAAAAACAAACATGAACTGTGTACGGAACAAATCATAATTGAAACATTATAAGTCATAAATTATCGACTCGAATAGCTGCAAAATGGCTGATGCGGCGTTAAGCAATACTCACTCACTCACTTGGTTTATCCCTTGATGCAAGGGATAATGATGATCTCTTTCAATATCAATGAGAATGTGACCTTGGCTTCGTCTTAATGGGTTTATGAAACCCTTCATGGCTGTGTTCGCTGACGACTCATACCATCCCATTATGTCATGTAGACAAGAGTTTCTCTTACTTCGTGTGAACAGATGTCCACCTGACCAGTGAGTGACCGTATGACTGTGGTTTTACTCTTAAGTCAATGTCAGCCAGGCTACATCAGGACGACATGCAAATAATCTGACTGTTTAAGGAAAATCTCTGAACGATGTCATCCATTCAGGTGACATTGTGACCATTCGAACTACACCAACTGGTGTCTTTGACGAACAAACTATGTGTGGGACTTAGTTGATAGGATATTATGGGAGCCTTCAATTGTGATCATAATACACATAAAAATATAATAAAACTACGTTGTAAGATATGTACACCGAAGGATGGGTCCTGTACGTGACATCTGAACTTGCCGCACTCAATTGTGCTGTGAATCCCAGACATTGAAGAAAAGGACAACTGTAGGTTTGTTCCAAGTAACTAGCAACGCTGTATGTTTGTTAAACATAAATTTCAAGTCCCGTGCTGGGATTCGAACTACGAAACCTTCTGCTCCGAAGTCATATGCCTTGTCCACATTACCAAAGAAGTTAACCCCCATCATCAAGCTGACAAGGTATGGGATGACTCTAGGCCCTGCTACATAAATACTTTATGTGTAATTCTATAAAACAATTTCATCCCTCCAAATGAGTACATGTCACCTGAAGTACCCGTATGATCCTCAAAACTCCAGTATTCTTCCAATGGTGTTTATTAAGTTACAATCAGTCTCGGTGTACAAGGCCACGTGAAGTTCATGGTGCCCACCGTTTGTTCCAGATGGGTGCGACGTTTGTGAGGAGGCTGTGAAGCACGTGACTACCGCCGAGACTGTTATCACATTTCACATGGAGCGGACCGTGGTATATGGATCTGGACGCAAAGCGACCAACTTGAAAACCCGTAGAAAGGAATTATTGGCAAAATTCTGTAATCATGTGTGTGCGCTAAGAAACTCTGGAGGAGGTTTTTTGTTGATTCATTTCACTGGAAATAAAGAAACCGGAAGTAGAGATTTGAATGCATTTGATGAGCTAGTCGACCTGAGGCTGAACGCCATGATAGAAGATGATACATTATTTGTTGACAATTACGAAAGAAGTTGGCTTAATGATCGTGTTGTCATCCTCAAGGTAAAGTCTTCACCGTCTTGCTCCACATCAGACTTCAAGACAAAGATACCCCTTGACGACCGTCTAATTGACCCCTCGGCAAGGAACATCCCCAATCTGTATAACCTCACCCCTGGAGACAGAACCCCTATGCTGCCACCCCAACCCCAGGTCCTCATAGATTGGTCACAGGATGTTGTTGCTTTGCATGAAAGTCGGAGTATAGAAATGAAATGTTGGGGAATAGGATTTGTTGTGCCATCAGATGTCGAGCGAAAAGCACTTCTGATCTGGGAAACACTTAAATTAAGAGAAAATATAACAGCAATGACAAAACTAATAAGAGGCGGTTCATTTTATTGTGGAATAGAGGAAGAACTGGTAGACACGGGCGACTATAAATTGAAAAAGTCGAAGGTTTGTGGTATGACCTTGACTGAAGGTGAACGGGAAGACCTCAGTCGTATTCTCCTACACAAGGTTCAAACAGACATGATGTGGACCAACCGAACCAACGAAAGCATTGGCCCCCCTGTTGATGCTATACAAATACTGTTTCATAAGGTTCGGGAGGAGACATTCGTCATGGAGGTTGTAATTACGTTCTTTGATGGATTGGTATTTTATGACAAGGCAGGACCTGAGTGTTATGTAGTAAACAGTGACCTGACACCGAGACGGGTGGAGTTCTCGGAGTGGATACAGCGTGTTAGACCAGAATAAACCACACATGGTTATCATCAATATCTTCAGTTTACATCTGATGTTTAGTTCTTACTGAGACTATGTCACAATGATTCATCATTCTTACAACCAGAGACATTCCGCAGCCAGGACGTTTGGATTGATTGTTTGCCGAATTATCATTCATTACTTTATGGAGAGCTTATGTCCTCGGGAGCCTATGGTTGAGGAGCCTCTGCCTGTGGAGCCTATGCCTAAACAACCTAAATGTGAACAGCCTATGACAGGACAACCCATGCCCTAAACAACCTAAATGTGAACAGCCTATGCCAGGACAACTTATGCCTAAACAACCTAAATGTGAACAGCCTATGCCTGAACAACTTATGCCTAAACAACCTAAATGTGAACAGCCTATGCCAGGACAACTTATGCCTAAACAACCTAAATGTGAACAGCCTATGCCTGAACAACTTATGCCTAAACAACCTAAATGTGAACAGCCTATGCCAGGACAACTTATGCCTAAACAACCTAAATGTGAACAGCCTATGCCAGGACAACTTATGCCTAAACAACCTAAATGTGAACAGCCTATGCCTGAACAACTTATGCCTAAACAACCTAAATGTGAACAGCCTATGCCAGGACAACTTATGCCTAAACAACCTAAATGTGAACAGCCTATGACAGGACAACCCATGCCTAAACAACCTAAATGTGAACAGCCTATGCCAGGACAACTTATGCCTAAACAACCTAAATGTGAACAGCCTATGCCTGAACAACTTATGCCTAAACAACCTAAATGTGAACAGCCTATGCCAGGACAACTTATGCCTAAACAACCTAAATGTGAACAGCCTATGCCAGAACAACCCATGCCTAAACAACCTAAATGTGAACAGCCTATGCCTGAACAACTTATGCCTAAACAACCTAAATGTGAACAGCCTATGCCTGAACGACCTAAGCTTAGACAACCTATGCCTGTGGAGCCTATGCCTGCGTAGTCTATGCTTGTGGAGCCTATGCCTGTGGAGCCAATGCCTGTGTAGTCTATGCCTGTGGAGCCGGTGCCTGTGTAGTCTATGCCTGTGGACCCTATGCCCGGAGAGCCTATGTCTGTGGGATCTATGTCTGTGGAGCCTATGACGGCGGAGCCTATGCCTGTGGAACCTATGACTGGAGAGCCTATGTCGGCGGAGCCTATATGCCGTATGTCTCTATTGTAATACGTTGTCATTGCTGTGTGCGTGCTGGAAACCTGTGGCAGAAAAGAACTACACGTATATGGGTAAACGAAACTGATGGCAGTTGTGTTGTTAAGTCATTTCCACAGTTTGCATGTATACTGAACTATCTAAAACAGTATACTTTTCCTGGTCACTGACAAGGTCAAGACGTTACCAGCATTTCATCTATTGTCATAAGCGTCGTTAAAGAAGACTGATGTCCAGGGTCGATGACGTGCCTGGATTCGCTCATATATCCATCCCCTGGTATGTCTGATCCACACCCGACTGTGTGACATGGCACACTATAGCTTATGTGATCCCTTATTACATTCGTGGTATTGCTGCCAAAACTAAAACATGGACTTCAAACCACATGAATTATGCCTTTAGTACCCAACAAATGACAGCTAGCTGAATCGTGACCATAAACACGACGTTGTACCAGAACCTTTGCAGTTTATCCAACAATTGATTCCCTTGTCTCATTCACACTCTATAATACAACCACCGCGAATAACAACAGTCTGGATAGGCAAAGTTATAAGTGAACACATTGCAGTGCAACTATATGTTTTACTAACTGGCTACATTAAAGCACGAAATCTTAATCTACTTTACATAGATCTGTTCATTTTCCAACATTCTAGTGCTCAAACCTTTTATTGTGCTGAATGGGCTTCAATAGGAATGAATTTCAAATTCATATTTAAATTTCAATACAAATTATACGCATCGTTAAAGCGAGACAAAAAGTCTGGTTATTTTCAATTTTCATAACAGATATTCAAATTTAGTAAAAACAATGTGATGATGTGACCTTCCCTTCACACAAAGGCTTGTCTTGATAAATGAATTGTTCGTATTGTACTCAAATAGCTGGTCACACCGTAAGGCAAACCAGTGAAGATCTGGGCTAGAATTGATCTCAGGAACCCATGCTTGTCCTAAGAGGCGACTAACATGATCGGTGGTCAGACTCGCTGACTTGGGTGACACATGTCATCGTATCCCAATTGTGTAGATCGATCCTCATGATGTTGATCACTGGATTGTTTGGTCAAGACTCGATTACTTAGAGACAGCCGTCATTTAGCTGGAATATTTCTGAGTGTGGCGTTAAACAACAAACCGAAAGGCAATATCAGCCACATCATCAAAATAATGATGCATTTCCGTTGCCTGTAAATATATACAAGTAAACAGGTATTAAATCAATAGCCATGTGTTTCAGATATCTGGAAGAAGGGAGATACGTCCACTGTGACTGACCTGCGAGGCTGCTACAGTTTCGGACCGACAGTCAAACATTCTGGAGAGTCTTTCAGTGAGATTCTGGACTACTTTAACTCTCTCCAAGAAGAAGGTAACAATATTGCCAGAGATATATTTTGTTTCACAGTATGTTATAAGATAAAAATTTATATTGTCGAATAGTTTGATATGTCTTTTAAATATACTAAAATCAAGTGGTTAGAAACTGTTCTAAAAACTCAGATAAGGTACAAACATCATCATTATACGGTGTCTGATACGTGCAAAATCCACGCATACAAGTAAAATGTGATTAATACAAATTGGTATTTGGCACGGGATACACTGAAGTGTATCTACTCCTTTCAATAAAGGGGCGATGGGGTAGCCCAGTGGTTAAAGCGTTCGTTCGTCATGCCGAAGACCCGGTTTTGACCCCCACATGGGTACAATCCGGGAAGCCCATTTTTGTGTCCCCGCCGTGACATTGCTGGAATATTTCTAAAAGTGTCGTAAAACAAAACTCACCTTTCAATAAAAGCAAATGTGTTTAGTAACTGTAAGTCCAGTTTATACATGCTGTCCTATGTTTGGATGGTTTAATGGATACAAGTGAACAATGAAGCTACCGATCTTTGTAATCCGACTAATATGCACTATTTGTATTTCTTGTTAGATAGTTTCCATGGTCAAAAGAACAATGGCACGCTCCACAAACTTATCGTAAAGCTAAGGTGATCGCAACTCCTCTACTTTAATATGGACTTACGACTGTCGATGCGCTACGATCACTTTGTGGAAGGATCCCTTGGAGTTGTGTTTGTATTTCTATCAGACTGTACGAATTTACACATGGTTCTGGTTTCTGCTTCAGAGAAGGGGGTCAAATTCACCTTGTTTCCCCCGAAATTTGACCAAGAGCTGCAGGAGGACGAGCAACACGTCATCAGCACCGTTAGGGAATACCTTGTGGCGAAGAAAGGAGGGGTAGCCTTCTTCCAGAAATCCATTTCCAACCTCCTGGGTTTGAAGACAGCATCTGACGTCATCTGTGACGTCATCATTCTCACACCCACTGACGTCCCATACCTTTTGACCTTCGCGAAGGACAAGGAGGCGACCTCGCGGCGTAACCGTGACATGGCTAAACTTGTACTACGCCGTCTAAGGATGTTTGTTAGCGTAGACTTCACCCTAGCGTTTGGAGTAGTTGGTGTCGAGGACGACGCTGCAGACGTGAATCTGTTCTCCCAACGGCTGCAGCATGTCAAGTCATCCTCCACGTCGTTCGCTCTGAGAACGTACATGATCATAACCAACTCCAAGTATGAAAGCCTTGTCCGCGGATTGGTTGCCATGTATGCCACTGCCAAAACACCGACTGAAAACGGTTACTTTGGCAACAGTTGCAAACATAATTCTAAATCCATCTGGATAATGCAGAAAGATGCATTTAAAACTATATATGCTGCTGGATAAATCGAAGGAACGACATTTCTGAAATACGTTGTATATCGCACGCCGTAGATGACGGGTTTACACGGCATTGGAAAACAGGTGTTGACTGTCCAAGCTAAAACAAAATGTGTCATTTGGCTATATGTCCGAACATACAACACTGTTTCCAAGCATGTACAATACAAGGTACAACTATTAACCTTATCATTGATTGATGTATCGTCTCTAACTGTATACAATGATTCAAGGAAAAGTGTTCAGGATCTATAATTAGTTCGAAAGAGAAACGTTGGAAGGTCCACAATAGCCGAATAACACCTTAAGATTAGCAGAATTTACCACCAACGGTAGCATCAGTCACCACAGACACAGAAACATATTAGTCTTCCACACAATGTAACCGTTACTTTATAAAATGTGTTTATACCAGACAAGCTCAAATTGTGGAATGGCCTTTCTAATAAATGTCGACTTCCTCCTACACCTTCATGCTTAAAATATAGTGGTAAAACATAAAACGTTCCCTGTTGTTACTTCTGTAACAGAAAAACTCACATGCTCCATACTCGTTAAGACATTTATGCAGTTTTTAAAGGTAGTAAATGTAACATGACTTTGAGGAAATTAGGGCTGGGACGGGTAGGAAAAAATGGAATCGAGTACCCGCATGTACTTACCCGAATCGGAATCGAGTACCCGGAAATGTAAGGAATAAAGCGCTTCTGTCAACTTTCTGAATATCCAATCACGAGTTGACAGAGATTTTTATAGAAAAACTTGAAATGATGTCAATAAGACACTGAAACTGAACATAGGCTATTTAGTTTACATCTGTTTAACCAGGGAGACTATATGTGTTGTAGATTATCCCTGGTTTAACCAGGGAGAGTATATGTGTTGTAGATTATCCCTGGTTTAACCAATATAGAGAGAAACACCATTACCGCTGTTTAACCAGGGAGACTATATGTGTTGTAGATTATCCCTGGTTTAACCAGGGAGACTATATGTGTTGTAGATTATCCCTGGTTTAACCAGGGAGACTATATGTGTTGTAGATTATCCCTGGTTTAACCAGGGAGACTATATGTGTTGTAGATTATCCCTGGTTTCCTGGTTTAACCAGGAGACTATATGTGTTGCCAGTTAGATTATCCCTGGTTTAACCAGGGGAGACTATATGTGTTGTAGATTATCCCTGTTTAACCAGGGAGACTATATGTGTTATGTATTATCCCTGGTTTAACCACTTATGTGTTGTAGATTATCCCTGGTTTAACCAGGGAGACTATATGTGTTGTAGATTATCCCTGGTTTAACCAGGGAGACTATATGTGTTGTAGATTATCCCTGGTTTAACCAGGAGACTATATGTGTTGTAGATTATCCCTGGTTTAACCAGGGAGACTATATGTGTTGTAGATTATCCCTGGTTTAACCAGGAGACTATATATATGTTGTAGATTATCCCTGGTTTAACCAGGAGACTATATGTGTTGTAGATTATCCCTGGTTTAACCAGGGAGACTATATGTGTTGTAGATTATCCCTGGTTTAACCAGGGAGACTATATGTGTTGTAGATTATCCCTGGTTTAACCAGGGAGACTATATGTGTTGTAGATTATCCCTGGTTTAACCAGGGAGACTATATGTGTTGTAGATTATCCCTGGTTTAACCAGGGAGACTATATGTGTTAGATTATCCCTGGTTTAACCAGGAGACTATATGTGTTGTAGATTATCCCTGGTTTAACCAGGGAGACTATATGTGTTTAACCAGGGAGACTATATGATTATCCCCTGGTTTAACCAGGGAGACTATATGTGTTGTAGATTATCCCTGGTTTAACCAGGGAGACTATATGTGTTGTAGATTATCCCTGGTTTAACCAGGAGACTATATGTGTTGTAGATTATCCCTGGTTTAACCAGGGAGACTATATGTGTTGTAGATTATCCCTGGTTTAACCAGGAGACTATATGTGTTGTAGATTATCCCTGGTTTAACCAGGGAGACTATAGTTGTAGATTATCCCTGTCCCATGGTTTAACCAGGGAGACTATATGTGTTGTAGATTATCCCTGGTTTAACCAGGGAGAGACTATATGTGTTGTAGATTATCCCTGGTTTAACCAGGAGACTATATGTTGTAGATTATCCCTGGTTTAACCAGGGAGACTATATGTGTTGTAGATTATCCCTGGTTTAACCAGGAGAGACTATATAACACCATAGATTATCCCTGGTTTAACCAGGGAGACTATATGTGTTGTAGATTATCCCTGGTTTAACCAGGAGACTATATGTGTTGTAGATTATCCCCAGGTTTAACCAGGGAGAGGGAGACTATATGTTGTAGATTATCCCTGGTTTAACCAGGGAGACTATATGTGTTATTATCCCTGGTTTTGTTTAACCAGGAGACTATATGTGTTGTAGATTATCCCTGGTTTAACCATTATATGTTATGTTATCCCTGGTTTGTCCAGAGACTATATGTGTTGTAGATTATCCCTATAGTTTAACCAGGGAGACTATATGTGTTGTAGATTATCCCTGGTTTAACCAGGGAGACTATATGTGTTGTAGATTATCCCTGGTTTAACCAGGGAGACTATATGTGTTGTAGATTATCCCTGGTTTAACCAGGGAGACTATATGTGTTGTAGATTATCCCTGGTTTAACCAATATAGAGAGAAACACCATTACCGCTGTTACTGTAACTTGTCTCCTCACTGCTCATGCGCAGATATATTACAGTCGTTAATAACAACCTCCATTAATTGGACAATGCCAATAATGCAAATATTTGTTACGTCAATAATGAAAAAGACAAGGTATTGTCTGCCCTTGCCATTACAGAGTTCTCTCCTTTTTCGGGTACTCGATTCCATATGAAAATGTGTATCAAAGGTTCTAACCTATTGACAGCTTTTGTCCTATCCATTTGACCTTTTAATTTCAGTAAAATATGTTTTTACCCAAACAGAGTTACACATTTCTGGAGGGATAACGGTCATGTCGCCTTGCTGACATAGTTACATTTTAAGTGACAGTTACAATGAATCTGATTGGACAGTCTTCGGCCCTCATGATATTTTCAGCTTGACCAGGAAGTGATGCTATGTAATACTAGTAATGCTATGTAATGTTATGTAATACTAGTAATTCTATGTAATTTATATGTAATGCTATGTGATGGTATATAATGCTATGTAATGTTATATAGTATATAATGCTATGTAATGCTATATAGTATATAAATGCTATGTATATATAGTATATAATGCGATGTAATGCTATGTAATGTAGTTCTATATAGTATATAATGCTATGTAATAATGCTATGTAATGCTATATAGTATATAATGCCATGTAATGTTATATAGTATATAATGCTATATATATAGCTATGTAATGCTATATATATAATGTTATGTAACGCTATATAGTATATGCTATGTAATATAGCTATATAGTATATAATGCTATGTAATGCTATATAGTATATAATGCGATGTAATGCTATATAGTATATAATGCAATGTAGTTCTATATAGTATATAATGCTATGTAATGCTATATAGTATATAATGCTATGTAATGCTATATAGTATATAATGCTATGTAATGCTATATAGTATATAATGCTATGTAATGCTATATAGTATATAATGCTATGTATATAATGCCATGTGCTATATAGTATATAATGCTATATAGCATATAATGCTATATAACGCTATGTAATGCTATATAGTATATAATGTTATGTAATGCTATATAGTATATAATGCTATGTGATTCTATATAGTATATAATGTTATGTAATGCTATATAGTATATAATGCTATGTAATGCTATATAGCATATAATGCTTTGTAATGCTATACAGTATATAATGCTATGTAGTGCTATATAGTATATAATGCTATATAACGCTATGTAATGCTGTATAGTATATAATGCTATGTAATGTTCTATAGTATATAATGCTATGTAATGCTATATAGTATATAATGCTATGTAATGCTATATAGTACATAATGCTATGTAGTGCTATATAGTATATAATGCTATGTAATGCTATATAGTATATAATGCTATGTAGCACTATGTAATGCTGTATGCTATATAGTATAATGCTAATGCTATGTAGTGCTATATAGTATATAATGCTATATAATGCTATATAGTAATAATGCTATGTAATATAGCTATATAGTGCTATGTAATGCTATATAGTATATAATGCTATGTAATGCTATATAGTATATAATGCTATGTAATGCTATATAGTATATAATGCTATGTAATGCTATATAGTATATAATGCTTTGTAATGCTATATAGTATATAATGCTATGTAATGCTATACAGTATATAATGCTATGTAATGCTATCTTAATGTTGTCCCAGTAATGACCTGATCAGAAAGATGATTGACGTTCTGACACTACACGTGATTTTCAGATTACAGCTGTAAGTGTTTCACCAGTATTGTATGTACGTTTGTTTTGAAATATATTACTCTGAATAAATAGTTGGTCGTGTGGCGAGTTGACATGGTATGATGCCAGATGCGTTTCCACAGGCAAACCAGTTGTCCACGTTGTCAAGGACACGTTAGAAGGGGAACAGTTCTAATAAATATATTTCACTGCATCGGGGACGACAATACCCATAGTGCAGGATATTCTCGTTTACCATCGACATGGTGTTGGCAAACAAAGCGTCACAACTGGGACGACTGTGGACCACACGTGGACATGCGGGTTACAATTGGTTTCAGCAACCCTTGCTTGTCGTAAGAGGCGACTAACGGGATCGGGTGGTAAGGCTCGCTGACTTGGTTGACATGTCATCGTATTCCAATTGTGTAGATCGATTCTAATGTCAATCACTGGATTGTCTGGTCAAGGCTCGATCATGTACAGAACATCGTCATATACTGGACCACCACCACGAAGTGGTCATCAGAAAGGATGAGGTTTTTAGTCGTCAAGGTCGCAGCCAAGCCAGAGTATTCTCTCTGTATTCACTCGCAGATGCTGGAGACGTCCTCTGAATGTGAAACAGTGGGAAGCTCGTGTCTAGATCGATATTCCCACCCATGTGTATCTACAACACGACAAAACGACGAGACTCAGACTATTAGTGTTCTATCATTGTGTAGTTGTGTATATTGTCAATGTAGACATGGATCCTGTGTATCTACAACACGACAATACGACGAGACTCAGACTATTAGTGTTCTATCATTGTGTAGTTGTGTATATTGTCAATGTAGACATGGATCCTGTGTATCTACAACACGACAAAACGACGAGACTCAGACTATTAGTGTTCTATCATTGTGTAGTTGTGTATATTGTCAATGTAGACATGGATCCTGTGTATCTACAACACGACAATACGCCGAGACTCAGACTATTAGTGTTCTATCATTGTGTAGTTGTGTATATTGTCAATGTAGACATGGATCCTGTGTATCTACAACACGACAAAACGACGAGACTCAGACTGTTAGTGTTCTATCATTGTGTAGTTGTGTATATTGTCAATGTAGACATGGATCCTGTGTATCTACAACACGACAATACGCCGAGACTCAGACTATTAGTGTTCTATCATTGTGTAGTTGTGTATATTGTCAATGTAGACATGGATCCTGTGTATCTACAACACGACAATACGCCGAGACTCAGACTATTAGTGTTCTATCATTGTGTAGTTGTGTATATTGTCAATGTATACATGGATGCTGGTAAGTAGGTCACTGGGAAATAGGAGATGGACATGGGAATTTGTTGACTTTCATTAAAACAGAGAGTACGAACTTTTCGAGTCAAGTTTCAACAACTCGAACTATATAAATAGACAATGCCTTTAGGATTCGCAAGAGTAAATATAGTACACATTAGTTATATGGTGGAATCTACAGTGTCTGCTGAAGTGTTATTTCGTAGGCCTCTTGAAACTGTAATATAATATGATATTCATGGTTTACTTAACCTCAGCCGTTATTTGTTGCCTGTCCAACTTTTGAACTAACCTCCAGTCGAAGTGACGAACTTGAACCGGTCAATGGATTTCTAGTCGCACGATGTGATTCAAACAAATAGAAATCTTGATCTGAAATAATTCAAACTTTAAAACGTCAGCAACACCAGACAAAGAGTTGTTCAAATAGTATGACATATATCGTAACATGGACAAACTGGAAGTTTAGTTGAGATATTTAGACGAGAACATCTCACCAGAATGTTAGAAATGTTAATAAACATCATTTCCCAAACAACAATAGTACTGTCAGGAGGTAACATTAGATTTGGTATTAATTATGTTTTTGAACGATTAGGAATCTTATTCTAAGATCGCAGTAATAGCTCGAGTTTGCAGTACATATTGGCTTTTGTTTTAAAAGTGTGACAGTATGTTAAACGGGCGCATGGTCAGCGTTACGCCCATCAAGCGCTTCACTTGTTGAGTACCTGGATGAGACAGATGTTTAAAAGATCTCGAACTGTCCCCCCACAAAGGGATGTTCTTATACCATTGGTACGAAATAACTACTACGGGATATCCTTTCATCATGGTGGGACTTTCTGCCAGTCTAAACAATTCGGAAACCATCATCACTGGTTTAATAACCGAACACATCTGTAACATATGTTACCCTTTAGAATAACACCAGGTGTTGGGAACCGTAGTCATAGAAGTCACCCTTTAGAATAGCACCAGGTGTTGGGAACCGTGGTCATAGAAGTCACCCTTTAGAATAACACCAGGTGTTGGGAGCCGTAGTCATAGAAGTCACCCTTTAGAATAACACCAGGTGTTGGGAGCCGTGGTCATAGAAGTCAACCTTTAGAATAACACCAGGTGTTGGGAGCGGTGGTCATAGAAGTCACCCTTTAGAATAACACCAGGTGTTGGGAGCGGTGGTCATAGAAGTAGGGCTTCAACGAGTCCATTTTTTTGGACTCGAGTACTCGAGGGGTGAGACTCGACTCGGACCCGAGTACTCGAAATTCATACCTTTCAAGCAAACGATAGCGTAACCGGCATGACATGTGTTCCGATCACACAAGTGAACACTTACTTCTTTCCGACTGCATATCGTCGTGTGACTAACATTTCCTATTGGTCAGAATCAGTATTTGCATGTTTACTTGGCAAACGTTTTTTTTCTTCGTACTTCTTGTACTGCCTGCAAAACGCAGTGAGATACCGCACAGGCGGCATTTGGTTATTTTGCTCTTTTCACTATCCAGATCAAGATACGCCCATATATTTGATTTTTTTATCTTTCTCCATGTCTATCAATTGTCTATCAAGATAGTTACCTAATCATTTTAAAAAAGTGAAAACTCAAACCATGTATAATATTTACTCTCATCTGCAGACTTGTAGCAACTAATACCATACAGCCACACCGTGTGAGGAGTAAACTATTTAATCTAGGTGTTAATAAAAAATCATCAGATGGGTTAAAGAATTCAGGGTACATAGAACTCAGTATGTCAGTGTCAATGGCTATCAATTTTCTTTTCTCTCAACCTCTACTGGAGCTCCACATGGTTGTGTTCCTTCATCCGTACTCTTCGTTTCGTATACCAATGACTGTTACTTGTCAATATATGACTTGTTCACTGTGAAATTCGCAGATGACGCCACTGTTACTGGCCTAATTTCTGATTCTGAACATTATTATCGTCAAGGCATTGACTAAACCGTAATGACAGTTTTTTATCAAACCTTTATTCAAAGTGTGTTGACCTACAATTTTCTATGTTGGTATGGGGATCTGTCTCATCGCAACAGAAACAAATTTTTCAATTTTGTTAATACTGCTTGCAAAAATTCTGGAGTGTCTTTCGAGTGTACTCCCTTTATCTATGAGCGCCAGATTGTCAAAAAGGGAGCTAAAATTAGATTTGATAGTTGATATACTTGATCTCAACATTTTGAACTACTTCCTTCTGGACGCTGCTGACGATTACCTTCCCTCAAAACAAACAGAGCTAGACAGTCTTTCATACCATCAAGTATTCGTGAATGCAACAAATATTTTGAATCACCATCATGTGATTAGAACTAGAATTATTCAGCCTCTTTACCTATGTGGTTAATTGAATTATATCATGTCAGTTTTATTTGTAAATAGCATTCGTTTTGAGCATGTAATTATTGTGTATATTTTTGTGAACTGTGTATATATTCATTTTGAGACAGTTTGGATGTATAAGAATTTCCTCCGGGATAATAAAGTTATGTCTTATCATAATATTAGACGTTAACGGCCGCTCATGCTAAGCACATGGCAGACAGTCTGTCAACGTCAAATAATCCGAGTTATCTTCCCTTTTCGAGTCCTCGAGTCCTTGAAAATGGACTCGAGTCCAGCTAGACCCGACTCGTCCTCGAGTACTCGAGTACCCGTGGAAGCCCTACATAGAAGTCACCCTTTAGAATAACACCAGGTGTTGGGAGCCGTAGTCATAGAGGTCACCCTTTAGAATAACACCAGGTGTTGGGAGCGGTGGTCATAGAAGTCACCATTTAGAATAACACCAGGTGTTGGGAGCGGTGGTCATAGAGGTCACCCTTCATAATAACACCAGGTGTTGGGAGCAGTCAACCTTTAGAATAACACCAGGTGTTGGGAGCCGTAGTCATAGAAGTCACCCTTTAGAATAACACCAGGTGTTGGGAGCGGCGGTCATAGAGGTCACCCTTCAGAATAACACCAGGTGTTGGGAGCCGTGGTCATAGAAGTCACCCTTTAGAATAACACCAGGTGTTGGGAGCGGCGGTCAAAAAGGTCATCCTCTAGAACAACAACAGATATAGAATGCCGAAAGCCAATAGGAACAGTTTTCTAGATTAACTCTGGAAGGATAGGCACGTGTCTAGGGGCGTCTCCAGGGACATCGTGTGAAGTCAATGTCGGGCAACATGACATGTACAGAGTTGCTGAGTTTGGTGAATGATACGGTGCAGGATCACTACAACAGCCAGACCCCCGTGGCAAATTGTTCATGGCGTGGTTACTGGACAGAACTAGCGCTAGAACAAACGAAAACATTCGAGGGCTTTCAACTGTGGGTCAGCTGACATAATCAGCAAATAATGATCCGGTGAACATGTGTCGTGTCTTCTCAATATCGTGGGGATCCTTTGAAATATAACGGAAAACCCGATCGGGCTTCAAACAAAGTGGTGTAAATAACAACATAATATTTGGTCATTTGTGTGATGGACGTTTTATTATTAAAAGTTCACTGACAAAACCAATACATGGTCACCAAGAAACACTCCCTAAAGAAGGACGGCGTGACAACTGTCAGTATCGCCTGTGACAACACCATTTCCGTGGGTACGGGGGAGGCAGCGGTGGTAAAGTAAAGACTCCAGACGGTTGAAAACAGCCTGGATGATGTCAGCCGGTGGCTGTCAACTGTCATCCAAAGATCGGGCTAACAGACCGAGAGTTACCGGCTGCTTCTGTCCTACCACCGCGGATGCCGTGGCAGGTATATTAACTGTCGGATCAACATGGCATGAAACATTCAGAAACATAACATAACGGGTGCTTTTCTTTGTTAAGATCTACATTCATCACAAGCATTGCATTTGTTGAAATCATGAGCCACAACAGTTTCAGGAGTCATCTAAATGTTGGAGTCGGGCAAAGGAGGTTTGAGACTGTCCCCATACATGTCGGCGTCCACACTGGGGAACGATATGAACTGCAACCCCCCTGTTTCCTGGGATCTCGAGCGGCGAGGCTCCACTGCATCTATGGAAGAGATACAACGTAAACGTCAGTCAGGTTCGCTGTGATTGGTTAAATTCCTGGTAACAAATATAACAGTTTATACAAATATATCATCGCGCTATAAATGCATGCATGTTTGCTTGTGTGTTTGTTTGTTAACACAGTACTAGATGTATGGCTTTGGTTTCAGTTTATTTACAAGATTAGACACAATACGTAATTTAGAATTGATTGCATTCCAATTAAGCAGCAAAAAGGTCTATCCATACCAATATTTATTACTAAAACATTACCACTGCATCAAGAAACGGTGTATCATTATTAAGATTAAATATTTATTACTAAAACATTACCACTGCGTCAAGAAACGGTGTATCATTATTAAGATTAAATATTTATTACTAAAACATTACCACTGCATCAAGAAACGGTGTATCATTATTAAGATTAAATATTTATTACTAAAACATTACCACTGCGTCAAGAAACGGTGTATCATTATTAAGATTAAATATTTATTACTAAAACATTACCACTGCATCAAGAAACGGTGTATCATTATTAAGATTAAATATTAATGACATAAACATTACCACTGCGTCACAACTGAGGTCGACACCTCGATGTCGTGTCCATTGAAGGCCGGGAGTGGTTGACTGACGTCACAGAAGAAGTCAAGCAGTGAAATGTATTATAGAGTGAGTGATTGACTGACGTTACAGAAGACGTGAAGCAGTGAAATGTATAATAGAGTGAGTGATTGACTGACGTTACAGAAGACGTGAGGCAGTGAAATGTATAATAGAGTGAGTGATTGACTGACGTCACAGAAGACGTGAGGCAGTGAAATGTATTATAGAGTGAGTGGTTGACTGACGTCACAGAAGACGTGAGACAGTGAAAGTGAAATGTATAATAGAGAGTGATTGACTGACGTTACAGAAGACGTGAGGCAGTGAAATGTATTATAGAGTGAGTGATTGACTGACGTCACAGAAGACGTGAGGCAGTGAAATGTATTATAGAGTGAGTGATTGACTGACGTCACAGAAGACGTGAGGCAGTGAAATGTATTATAGAGTGAGTGATTGACTGACGTCACAGAAGACGTGATGTTATAGAGTGAGTGATTATAGAGTGAGTGATTGACTGACGTCACAGAAGACGTGAGGCAGTGAAATGTATTATAGAGTGAGTGATTGACTGACGTTACAGAAGACGTGAGGCAGTGAAATGTATTATAGAGTGAGTGATTGACTGACGTTACAGAAGACGTGAGGCAGTGAAATGTATTATAGAGTGAGATTGTTGACTGACGTGATTGAGGCAGTGAAATGTACGTTGAGTGATTGAGAAGACGTGAAGAGGCAGTGAAATGTAGAGTGATTGACTGACGTGAAACGTGTATATATAGAGTGAGTGATTGACTGACGTCACAGAAGACGTGAGGCAGTGAAATGTATTATAGAGTGAGTGATTGACTGACGTCACAGAGAACGTGAGGCAGTGAAATGTAAGAAGACGTGAGAGCACTGTGAAATGAGGCAGTATGTATATAGAGTGAGGGTTGACTGAGTGATTGACTGAAATGTATAATAGAGTTACAGAAAGACGTGAGGCAGTGTATTATAGAAGTGGTTGACTGTACAGAAGACGTAAGGCAGTGAAATGTATTATAGATGAGTGATTGACTGACGTGACGTGTATTACAGAAGACGACAGAAGCAGTGAAATGTATTATAGAGTGAGTGATTGACTGTCACAGAAGACGTGAGCAGTGAAATGTATAATAGAGTGAGATTGATTGACGCGCAGTGAAATAATACAGAGTGAGGCAGTGAAATGATTGACTGACGTGACGTACAGAAGACGTGAGGCAGTGAAATGTATTATAGAGTGAGTGATTGACTGACGTCACAGAAGACGTGAGGCAGTGAAATGTATTATAGAGTGAGTGACGTCACAGAAGACGAGGCAGTGAAATGTATTATAGAGTGTGATCACACAGAAGACGTGAGAAAAATGTATTATAGAGTGAGTGATTGACTGACGTCACAGAAGACGTGAGGCAGTGAAATGTATTATAGAGTAGACTGAGGATTGACTGACGTCACAGAAGAAGTGAGGCAGTGAAATGTATTATAGAGTGAGTGATTGACGTCACAGAAAGACGTGAGGCAGTGAGGCAGTGAAATGTATTATAGAGTGAGTGATTGACTGACGTTACAGAAGACGTGAGGGCAGTGAAATGTATTATAGAGTGAGTGATTGACTGACGTCACAGAAGACGTGAGGCAGTGAAATGTATTATAGAGTGAGTGATTGACTGACGTCACAGAAGACGTGAGGAGGCAGTGAAATGTATTATAGAGTGAGTGATTGACTGATTTGACGTTGAAATGTATAATAGAAGACGTGAGGCAGTGAAATGTATAATAGAGTGAGTGATTGACTGACGTTACAGAAGACGTGAGGCAGTGAAATGTATTATAGAGTGAGTGATTGACTGACGTCACAGAAGACGTGAAGCAGTGAAATGTATTATAGAGTGAGTGATTGACTGACGTCACAGAAGACGTGAAGCAGTGAAATGTATTATAGAGTGAGTGATTGACTGACGTCACAGAAGACGTGAGGCAGTGAAATGTATTATAGAGTGAGTGATTTGACTGACGTTACAGAAGACGTGAGGCAGTGAAATGTATTATAGAGTGAGTGATTGACTGACGTCACAGAAGACGTGAGGCAGTGAAATGTATTATAGAGTGAGTGATTGACTGACGTCACAGAAGACGATGGAGCAGTGAAATGTATTATAGAGTGAGTGATTGACTGACGTCACAGAAGACGTGAAGCAGTGAAATGTATTATAGAGTGAGTGATTGACTGACGTCACAGAAGACGTGAGGCAGTGAAATGTATTATAGAGTGAGTGATTGACTGACGTTACAGAAGACGTGAGGCAGTGAAGATTATAGAGTGAGTGATTGAACGTGTAGAAGACGTGAGGCAGAAATGTATTATTGACTTGACGACGTTACAGAAGACGTGAGGCAGTAAATGTATTATAGAGTGAGTGATTGACTGACGTCACAGAAGAAGTGAGGCAGTGAAATGTATTATAGAGTGAGTGATTGACTGACGTCACAGAAGACGTGAGGCAGTGAAATGTATTATAGAGTGAGTGATTGACTGACGTCACAGAAGACGTGAGGCAGTGAAATGTATTATAGAGTGAGTGGACGTGACTGACGTTACAGAAGACGTGAGGCAGTGAAATGTATTATAGAGTGAGTGATTGACTGACGTCACAGAAGACGTGAGGCAGTGAAATGTATTATAGAGTGAGTGATTGACTGACGTCACAGAAGACGTGAGGCAGTGAAATGTATTATAGAGTGAGTGATTGACTGAAATGTATAATAGAGTGAATGATTGACACAGAAGACGTGAGGCAGTGAAATGTATTATAGAGTGAGTGATTGACTGACGTCACAGAAGACGTGAGGCAGTGAAATGTATTATAGAGTGAGTGATTGACTGACGTCACAGAAGACGTGAGGCAGTGAAATGTATTATAGAGTGAGTGGTTGACTGACGTTACAGAAGACGTGAGGCAGTGAAATGTATTATAGAGTGAGTGATTGACTGACGTCACAGAAGACGTGAGGCAGTGAAATGTATTATAGAGTGAGTGATTGACTGACGTCACAGAAGACGTGAGGCAGTGAAATGTATTATAGAGTGAGTGATTGACTGACGTCACAGAAGACGTGAGGCAGTGAAATGTATTATAGAGTGAGTAATTGACTGACGTTACAGAAGACGTGAGGCAGTGAAATGTATAATAGAGTGAGTGATTGACTGACGTCACAGAAGACGTGAGGCAGTGAAATGTATTATAGAGTGAGTGATTGACTGACGTCACAGAAGACGATGGAGCAGTGAAATGTATTATAGAGTGAGTGATTGACTGACGTCACAGAAGACGTGAAGCAGTGAAATGTATTATAGAGTGAGTGATTGACTGACGTCACAGAAGACGATGGAGGCAGTGAAATGTATTATAGAGTGAGTGATTGACTGACGTCACAGAAGACGTGAGGCAGTGAAATGTATTATAGAGTGAGTGATTGACTGACGTTACAGAAGACGTGAGGCAGTGAAATGTATTATAGAGTGAGTGATTGACTGACGTCACAGAAGACGTGAGGCAGTGAAATGTATTATAGAGTGAGTGATTGACTGACGTCACAGAAGACGATGGAGCAGTGAAATGTATTATAGAGTGAGTGATTGACTGACGTCACAGAAGACGTGAGGCAGTGAAATGTATAATAGAGTGAATGATTGACTGACGTTACAGAAGAAGTGAGGCAGTGAAATGTATTATAGAGTGAGTGATTGACTGACGTCACAGAAGACGTGAAGCAGTGAAATGTATTATAGAGTGAGTGATTGACTGACGTCACAGAAGACGATGGAGCAGTGAAATGTATTATAGAGTGAGTGATTGACTGACGTCACAGAAGACGATGGAGCAGTGAAATGTATAATAGAGTGAGTGATTGACTGACGTCACAGAAGACGTGAAGCAGTGAAATGTATTATAGAGTGAGTGATTGACTGACGTCGTAGAAGACGTGAAGTAGTGAAATGTATTATAGAGTGAGTGATTGACTGACGTCACAGAAGACGTGAAGCAGTGAAATGTATTATAGATGATCATAATAAAAAGTTACATCTTGATTGAATAAATTATTTACAGTTATAAATAACTGAAAAAATAGATAGTAGTAACGTATAACTTGAATAAATATATATTTATTGAACTGTATATTTAACTAAATTACTATTTATCTTTATACATATATAAATACTTATTTAGTTAAATATGTATTAAATAAATAAGAAAAAGTTAGAACTTAAATTAATAACGAATTGCTATACATTACATATGTAATGAATAGTTATATCTGAAATACATAATGAATAGTTGTACCATAAATAAATAATGACTAGCTATACCTTGTCGTCTCGCACGACGCCGTCTCCACGTGAGATACATTGTTGCTGTAAGACAAAGCGCAGTTGCCAGGAGCAGGAATACGCTCACACAGTACACAAGGAGAGTTGACTTGTCGCCATGAAGGCTGGGCTCGCCATCTTGAAATAATAGACAGTACTCTTCAACTTACAGTGACTTCTACATGTTCAGTCACATTAAATCACCAAAAGGCTTTGTCATACACAATGCCATATCAAAAGTGGTCATATGTGACATGTTGTTTTTGGCACAATATAGTTTGGGGTTGAGTCCCATCCGGGATTGAACCCACACTCTCAGTGTCAGGCACATCATTGCATGCACGCAAAGTCAAAACGAGTGAGTGAGTTGGGTTTTACGCTGCTTTTAGCAATATTCCAGCAAATGGGCTTCACATACTTAAAGTCCAACTGGAAGTATGACAACTGTTAGTGTACCGAGGAAGTGTAATGGAGAAACCAATGTTACATTTAACCGATGTTACTGATGTGTTCGCCAGTAGCCAATCATTATTTCAGGGTGTGTGTGTGTGTGTGTGTGTGGGTGTGGGTGTGGGTGTGGGTGGGTCCAACCCTCCCCTTTTGAAAATGACATAAGATCACATATAAGATTTTTGCGTTGAACCCCCTGAACCCCCCTCCTTTCAAAATTCCTGGATCCGCCCATGTTTATAACATCAGCCTTCATTTCTATACCGAGTCGAACATGTCGATTTTAACAACAGAACATCCACATAGAACAAAATAGACCTCCTACCAAGGCTCTCAGAAACGACATGGTGCATAAAATATGACATCGTCGCTCAATGATTATTAATTCAATTCGGAGCTGATCGCTACACGTTCGTTTCAAAATACAGAAATTAGATATGCTGTTCTGAATGTGTCGACTTCAGGAGCATCGGCACTCTGGATTGGCTGGCTAGAAAACCTCGACGCTGATTGGCTCAAGAGAATGTTCACCCAAAGCGGTTTCCTTCGAAGGAGTCGTCCGATCTTCAGGTTGGTACCCTAGCACTTTTATGAGATCGATTCTCAAATGTGAATATTTTGAAACTGCAATGTACACTGACCTGGACTGTCCAGACGTATGGTGACTTCATCACTGTACTTGACATCACCGACGGAACATCGAATCCGGCGACAATCGTCCAGGTCCGTGATGGTGTGGGTGAGCGTGCTTGCTGCCTGGAGTTCACACTTACTGACTGGGTCCTCGGTCGGACGTTCATAACTGATGCGTTCCTTGTGTGGGTATTCTGTCCAGCTGCGTGACTCGCCCGCGCTCCGCCATTCCCATCTCCAAAGGCTTGAGTTGAATTGGCTGCCTACTCGTCCGCTACATCTAATATGAAGGTCAAGGCCGACGCTATGTCGTGAACCACTAGGCGTCACCCTCATGTAAGGGATGTGGGCAGTTGCTGAAACAGGACATATTGTTGTATTTTATATACAGTCTACATAATACAACAATACATTTAAAGTGGTCTTTGTCAGAGTCGGAATTAAAGTATCGAATTTGCCTGCAAATGAGCGAGTAAGCTGGGCCTGATGCCACTTCGAACAGTATTCCAGTCACAGCAGGACCTGTCAACAAAATGTGGACTGAAGGTCCAAAGTGATGCTGGTCCTACACTTTCATTAGTTTAGTGAAACTCACGAGTATGGTGGATACAAACCAAGAAACATACACCCGTCGAATTGAGATTCGAATTAACGATCATAGGTTTCTGCCCAAGGGACGCAACTCTGCACAGCTGATTGCGGTGCCTTAGACGACCGGGCCACTGTATTTAGTTTACGCTTACTTCAACGTGTTATATTCCCGGACAATGGTTACCTGTGACCGTGACATTATTAATAATAATAATGCTAATTTTTGCGCCTAGAATCCAACACGATGCTGCTGTCTGGCGTTACATTATTACCCTGACGGAATTTTACTTTTAAAGCCGCAACTAAGCGCTTCGCGCGGTCGTATAGGTCCGTACATCCGCTTCTCAGGTACCCATTTTGAACAGCTGGGTGGACTGAGTGCAATGAGGACGAAGTGCCTTGCCCAGGGACACAACACAGTATGAGACCCAGGTCACAAATTTTGGTGTTTCCACTGGGATTCGAACCCGGGCCTTTGGCGTGAGAGGCCAGCATGCTAACCACTACACCACTGTGCTCCACATTGTGATACAAGACAATGGTTACCTGTGACAGTGACATTGTGATACAAGACAATGGTTACCTGTGACAGTGACATTGTGATACAAGACAACGGTTACCTGTGACCGTGACATTGTGATCCAAGACAATGGTTACATGTGACAGTGACATTGTGATACAAGACAATGGTTACCTGTGACCGTGACATTGTGATCCAAGACAATGGTTACCTGTGACCGTGACATTGTGATCCAAGACAATGGTTACCTGTGACCGTGACATTGTGATCCAAGACAATGGTTACCTGTGACTGTGACATTGTGATACAAGACAATGGTTACCTGTGACCGTGACATTGTGATACAAGACAATGGTTACCTGTGACCGTGTGACATTGTGATACAAGACAATGGTTACCTGTGACAGTGACATTGTGATACAAGACAATGGTTACCTGTGACCGTGACATTGTGATACAAGACAATGGTTACCTGTGACATTGTGAGTGACATTTTACCTGTGACCGTGACATTGTGATACAAGACAATGGTTACCTGTGACCGTGACATTGTGATACAAGACAATGGTTACCTGTGACCGTGACATTGTGATCCAAGACAATGGTTACCTGTGACAGTGACATTGTGATACAAGACAATGGTTACCTGTGACCGTGACATTGTGATCCAAGACAATGGTTACCTGTGACCGTGACATTGTGATCCAAGACAATGGTTACCTGTGACAGTGGCATTGTGATCCAAGACAACGGTTACCTGTGACAGTGACATTGTGATCCAAGACAATGGTTACCTGTGACTGTGACATTGTGATACAAGACAATGGTTACCTGTGACCGTGACATTGTGATACAAGACAATGGTTACCTGTGGCAGTGACATTGTGATACAAGACAATGGTTACCTGTGACTGTGACATTGTGATACAAGACAATGGTTACCTGTGACCGTGACATTGTGATCCAAGACAACGGTTACCTGTGACCGTGACATTGTGATCCAAGACAACGGTTACCTGTGACCGTGACATTGTGATCCAAGACAATGGTTACCTGTGACTGTGACATTGTGATACAAGACAATGGTTACATGTGACCGTGACATTGTGATACAAGACAATGGTTACCTGTGACCGTGACATTGTGATCCAGGACAACGGTTACCTGTGACCGTGACATTGTGATCCAAGACAATGGTTACCTGTGACCGTGACATTGTGATACAAGACATTGGTTACCTGTGACCGTGACATTGTGATACAAGACAATGGTTACCTGTGACCGTGACACTGTGATACAAGACTGTGGTTACCTGTGACTGTGACATTGTGATACAAGACAATGGTTGTGTTGTTGGTGAAGTTGGACTTGCAGTAATACATCCCCTGGTCGTCACATCTCAGCTGGTACAAGCTGATGTACATATAACCACCCCTATCGGTGATGATCCCGGATGAAGATGCGCGCTTTCTTATCGAGTCATCAACAATGTGAGGACTTGTGTCTCCACGTCGGAGAGTCGCCATCTGTATTCTCCTGTTATCGACTGTCTTGCCCACCTCCATTCCTTGCGTCGTGAGGCCGCCATGTTGGATGCCATGATGTAAACATGTCAAGCCCATCCTGCTCGTAGGTCCCATGCCACCAAGCACGATTCGTCCTGGGCTGACTTCGAATGATGTGTTAAAATTTTCTGAATAAAAGATCAAAAATAATATATTTCTCAGTGGGTGGAGAAAACTGTAACGTTATGAAGGAGGGGTTCAATCTAACTGGACATTGTCGCTTTCTGATTTACGTGGGAGGTATTTCGTTCCATCAGGAAATGAGTAATGCAGCCTCACACACCCTGAAACATGCTATTGTCGATTCCTCTCACTCCCTTCACTAAAGTACTGTCGGAAATGCTAGAAAAATGCTTTTTAACCTTAATACTTTGATAAAGGTGTTAAATGTACTATGTTGTCAATATATCAACTCACCTATAGTGTACCTAATTTTTATTTTAATCGATTTAACATTTCCATGCATTTAAAGGACAGTTTACAGGAGTTTAACATGAGAAATCTGAAATAGTCTTTAAATTTATGCTAATAATACAGGTGGTGCAAAAAAAAATTAACGTTTTTCTTAAACAAATAAAATGTTGAATGTTTGTGTTACTTGACTTAATTATTGTTTCTTCATTGAAGACAAATTAATATAAATGTTAAGTCTTAATAAATACGTTTCCCGCCATGCATGCACATCTTTATCACAGCGTTTACTATTTGCAGTCGATTGTTGCAAAGGTTTATACGTTTTTTGTGCTCGAGAAAGACAGACGTAAACCTTTCATTAGTTTAGAAAGGGTTCATTACAGAAACAAATCAGACAAGACAGGGACAGTCTCAAAAGCAAACCTGGGAAGCTATACCAGTGACTTCGTTAAATCTTTTGCCAATGTTCACAACTGGATTACATTGACCGAATTACATCCATATTTTTGCAAAGAAATATACTAATGACATGCAAAACATTTATTAAAACGTTGTACATTTCTACAATCAATCGATAAAATAACACAAGTGATGGGATTCTTTCTCATGCACAATAATTCGTATATTTATTTCAAAACACACACACACACACACACACATATATATATATATATATAGGTGTTGTTGGTGTGCGAAATGTGGATATCACATGATCCCTTACATAACCAATACGTATACTATACGTACACATATTCAACATTATGAAGAAAAAGATGTATTGAGATGACCCCTCACCCGAGCTTGTGCTCAGGTGTCAATTTCACCTGTCGATACCGTGCATGCTGATGACATAACACAGGCAGTTAATGTTTGTATCAAATAACGTTGCACTACCTCTTATTTTTCTAAGTTTTTGATATTTTCATATGTAAAAACACATTTTAGGGCATGTCTCAACTTTATTACCTCGGTCTACATTAAGTAGATGTTTCTTAAAGTGATATTTGTTATTTAAGTAATTGTAATATCTACGATTTTTACATAAAAGTCAAAAAGCATTTTTCCAGCATTTCCGACAGTACTTTAGTCCAAATTCTAAACGATGTAAGTCTTTGATTTGAATCAAGTTCTGAATTTCCCATCTCACTGTGGCAGCTGGCTCCTTTTCAATTTAAATGGAGCTTTTCGTTTTTCTCAGAGATGAGAGTTATATATTTTCAGAAACTTGGCGTTTGCCTAGATTAACTATTGATAGGCTCAACCATTGACAAAAAGTGTCACTTTACAAATTGTTTGAGCTATTTGTTTCTATCAAAATTATATATTTCCAGAGACTAAGCGTTATTCTAGGTTATTTAAACAGTAACAGGTTAAGGTCACAGGAAATGACGTATCGGTCCCCGTCAATTTGAGGTCAGGACAGATCGTATTACACAACAAAATAACACTGAATGTGCTTAAGAACAATTAATCATCAAAGAGAGAACCACACTGGACTTATAGACTCAAAAACAAGTTACACCATACCCGATTCTTTACTATCATTATAGTGACATGAAAGAACTAGATGTTTTCTATTCTCTGTCGAGTAAAATACATCAAGATGAAGTTTTCTGAAAACAGGATCGAGCATAGGCTCGAATGTCTGTGATCTCTCCTAATTCTAATTACATATTCTAATACTCAGATTATTTATTCTAGAAAAACAACCTCGACATTCCTTTCAGTCATGGGACGGTGGGGGAAACTTGTGGTTAAAGCGTTCGCTCGTTACGTCGAAAGCCCGGATTCGATTCCCGATGTGGTTACAATGTGTGAAGCCCATTTCTAGTGTCCTCCGCCTTGGTATTGCTGGAGTATTCTAATTCTGTTATGAGTGAGTGAATTTAGTTCTACGCCGCAATTAGCAATATTACAACTATACGGGGGCTGAACCAGACAATCCAGTGATCAATAGCATGATCATCGATCTACGCAATTGCTATACGATGACATCTGTCAACCAAGTCAGCGAGCCTGACCACCTGATCCCGTTAGTCGCTCTTACGACAAGCATGGGTTACTGACAATCAATTCTAACCCGGATCTTTACGGGTGAATTCTGTTATGAGTCATGAGTCATGGTTTCCAGAGATTGTTTGTATCACCTTACCCTGTGTATGAGAATCACGAATTGTTCACTCGCTAAACGGTGAAGTAGCTCGGAAGACATATTAACCTACCCGGTTGTTGATCTGAGGAAGCTGTCATCATCAACAACACGGAGATCCAGATCGGTATGTGTGTGGAGATATCCATCTTGACACCAACACAACATGTCTGCGCTAACTGATAAAACTGTGGGTCTGGTTATATAGCCTCCTCAACGTGAACTCAATCATTATATGGATGCTATAAAAATGACAAACTATTATGTATGGCTTATTGTGTATTTGGTGCACGGTTTTCTAAAATCGAATTGTTAACAGTAAGCACTTTGAAATACCATTCCCAATATCGACGTCTTGTCTGGTTTTATCGGCCTACATGCAAAAATACATGTTCCGCTCTACAAGGCGAGATTAACACTAAGATAGTCGTAAGTCTAGTGAAACTACTCAGCTCTAACCGTTTGTTACATTAACATGGACTGGCTTTATTACGACTGAAACGATACGCATATATTACCGCACTCAGCAATATTCCAGCTATATGGCGGCGGTCTGTAAATAATCGAGTCTGGACCAGACAGTCCAGTGATCAACAACATGAGCATCGATCTACGCAATTGTGATACGATGACATGTGTCAACCAAGTCCCGTTAATCGCCTTTTACGACAAGCATGGGTTACTGAAAGCTATTTCTAACCCGGATCCTCACGGGTACTGAAACGACACACCAAACTGCGCTACTAGGCATCTACCGCGATGCTTCAGTAGCTGTGGAATTTTTCTTGTTACTGTGATAGTAACTCTGTCTCTACTTTAACATAAGCGCGAGCCAAATCACCTGTTACGTCAGTTAAGTATACCAAGACCATATAGATTCATATGCCCATGAAAACATTGCTTCCCATGAAAACATTGCTAATATTAAAACCCGATATTTGCTTAATACGATGTGTTAATAAAACTAGTTCTCTTATAAAATGTTTCAAAATACTTTGTTTGTAAGGAAGCATTCCGTATGACAGGTTACTGATTGATTGCGAACGTTGGCTTATTCACATACCTTGAAAGGTTATTCTTCACAACCAACATACGAACACAAGGAAGTGCTGGATGAATGGTACACTGTGAAACGTTTTTAATTCAGGCAGGTTTAGAGGGCTGAACACACTATAATGTTGACATAGCATCACAATACTGGGTGTTACACAGTAAACATCCGTGGTGGAGACCAATGTATACTCAGGGCGTCATCAAACATACTCCTCTTATAAGGACTGACTGACTGACTGAGTTTGGTTTTACGCCGCTTTGACCAATATTCCAGCAATATCACGGCGGGGGATACCAGACATGGGCTTCACACATTGTACCCATGTGGGGAATCGAACCCGGATCTTCGGCGTGACGAGCGAACGCTTTATCCACTAGGCTACCCCACCGCCCCCTCTAATAAGGAAGTATATATTTGTCATATTAGTGGACTAGGTATCATATACAAGCTGATAAATAATATGACACACCATTGAAAATCATTCAGAGCAAGGAAGAAGACAGTCACACCCGTTAGGTGAAGTGAGTGAGTTAGTTTTACGCTGCTTTTAGCAATATTCCAGCAATATCACGGCGAGGGATACCAGAAATTGGCTTCACACATTGTACCCATGTGGGGATTCGAACCTGGGTCTTCGGCGTGACGGGCGAACGCTTTATCCACTAGGCTACCTCACGGCCCCGTTAGGTGGAGGATAAATTTTTGATTTGCCAGTATAGTCATGGCGTAATTTTGTGGGAAATACTACGCCAGATGAGTTAGTGTTGTGAGACTTTTCTTTTAGAATACTCGATACTCAATAATTAATGCTAGAAATAATGTTTCCACAGGGGTGCGGGGCGTGTGTGGTTCGTCCCGTCAGAACTACAACCATCCCTGGCCTCCAATATCACGGTAACAAGTAAATATGGTGTTGTTGGACGTTTTCTTTTTACAGTCGCTACCTGTATCTGATCTCCAGTGTGGGATTGTCCACCGTTACTAGGTATGAAACACCGACGACGTGCCAACTCCATGGCGTTGTTACCGACCCTCAAATGTGGGTTACCCCATTCGTCCAAGAGGACATGCTCCAGTAAAACAGTTGTCTGAGGTCACGTTGACCTAGATCATTCAATGTCTTCTACATTGTTTCAGTGAGTTCATCTTTACGCCGCTTTTAGCAATATTGCAACAATATCACAGCGGGGGACACCAGAAATGGGCTTCACACATTGTATCTATGTTTGGAATCGAACCCTGGTCTTTGGCGTGAGGACCGAACGCTGTAACCACTACGCTAGCCCCCCCGTCCCCCCGACTGTTTCATGACACAGTGGGTGATACTCACAGCTGAGACTACGACGAAGACGTCTCTCGATGTATTGCAGGATACCATGAAATTTTACATGTATAGTTTGCTGAACTCTCATCCGCAGCATGCTCGTGACAAGGAGCATAACCTGTCTCTACCGAGGATTGCAGCAACTGAATGCACTTATGCCTCTTAAAAGTCAAAGACGTAAT